GTTGCCCATGACAGCACTGATATGATAAAAGCATCACGGACAGCTGAGCTTCTTCATCTGAATGTCCATATTTCAGCCTTCCTCATGACAGTGTTAAAGCCTGTCAGCTCGTCTCACTGTGACTGTCAGTGACTGCTCATACACAGACCTCAGATGCTTCCTGTGGCCTCATCAACACCTTTCATTTGTTTCACCTGTGTATTGTTTTCAGTTTCTCGTTACAGGAATATTTATTCGTGGTATATATTCCCAGATCATGCAAGTATTTTTGGATTCACAATTCCTGTCATTGTTTGTTGTAGTTTGCTTGGTTATTACCTAGTTTATTTACCCTGTAAAAATGGTTTGCGAGATAACCTAACATTGGAACATATAAATGAACTGATTTTATTTAAGTCAAGAATATTTATTTATTATTAATGTATCCATATGACGAGAGTAGATTACACCAATTATTTTTTTTTCTGTTCTGTTCTGACTATTTTTTTCATGAAAGTATAAAAAATATTAGTTATCTTTTTCCTGCTTTGATTATTAAAAATTAATAATAATAATAATTAGAGCTTTAAAAAACCAAGTATACAAATCAGCATAGATTTATATTTGCTGTTATGTTGACAATTATGGAGAGATTTAGGAGAGTAAATAAAATAAGTGTATCATGAAATTATAAAATAAAATAAAATATTTAATGGAATGTAGCAATAAATAAAAAGTACTGTAAAATGTAAGCATGCATAAATGCATATACATGTCATGCCTTATTTGTTTACTGACTTTTCATTATGATTATTTATTGGTTGCAACATTTCATGAAATAATATTTCATGATTTATTTATTTGCTTCATGTTGTCCGCTACATTTTACTTCAAGGTGTGTATTTTATTTTGGATTGTGTGTGTTTAATTTTAAGGGGTATTTAATGTGGTATTTGACATCCATTTTTATTTTACATTTTAGAAATTAAATAAATGTATTTACTTTTACATTTCACTGTACATTTATCTGTTCCAACATTCCATGTCATATTTAAGAATTTCATTATTTATTTAATTTAGTCTGTTAAGTCCCTCCATAGACTATTGTTGGATCTATAAAATAATAAATATAATATTAATACAATTATTATTTTAAAAGAATTATAATTGTTTTCTGCTTCAGTAATATTGGTGCATCCCTTATAAATACAACTTAAATAATATGCTCAAACGACAATATATGTATTGCTTTGAATCAAATCTTCATAGGGTTGAAGTCTGATGTTCTTATATAAGAATCGTGATGAGTGTTTTTCTCCTGCAGTGACTCACAGTCAGATGAGTTCAGTCACTGTTTATCATGACGTGTTTTCTCGCAGTGTTTGTGGTCTGTTTTTAAAGCATGAAAGAGAGGCTATGTGATTGAGGGAATCCCTAGTGCATGATGGGATATTGGAGGACTCTGGGCAGGGTCAGTATTTGGTCATCTCCATCGAGTTACTTTCAGTCATTGCAGTCTCTCATGAAAGAATAAGAATGGAATGTGAAATGCTCCATTTGTGTTCCAGTATGTCTCATTTCCTGGGATCGCCATCAGAGGCTTGTGTCACTCCAAACTTTTCTGTGTAATACCTTTCGGACAAGGGTGTGAAAAACAGTTCTGAGAAAAAAATAAATAAATAAACTGTTCACTTCCACTCTTCCTAATGAGACTTTTCTCTTTTCATTTAACTGTGAGAAGCATTTGTCTCCGATTCACAGTATGTTCAGTTTTTATCCACATTACTGCTTGATTTAACATTTTATTTAAAAGAAATAATAATAATTTCACTCATTCCAGCCAACATAAGAAAAAAGATAACACTTTTTTTAGCACTTATTTCTAACATTTTCAATTGTATTTTTTTCACTCATTCCAGCCCTCATAAGAGTAATATCCAGCCATTTTAACACTAATTTATAACACTGATATTTTATTTTATAGTTTTGTGTTTTATTTTATTTTACTTTCACTCATTTCAGTCTACATAATAATAATATCTAGTTATTTTTAACATGATTATGTATTTGTTTGTTTACATTTGTTCCAGCCCACATAAGAATAATCATTTAAATAATTTAAATAATAATAATTAACATTTATTTATAACACTTATTTTATTCTATTTTATTTCAGTCTTATAAGAATAATATCCAATCATTTTTAACATTTATTTCAATATTTATTTATTCACTCTTTTCAGTCCACATAATAATAATATCCAATTATAATTAACAGTTATTTATAACACTGATTTTATTCTATTCAATTTTATTTTATTTCAGGCCTTGTAAGAATAATATCCGATCATTTTTAACACTTGTTTATAACAGTTATTTGTTTGTTTATTTATGTATTTATTTATTTGTTCACTCACTTATTTCAACCCACATAAGAATAATATCCAAACATTTTTACACTTATTTGTAACATATATATATTATTTTTATTATTATTATTATTATTTTTTATGTTGTTCAGGGAAATGTGTAGTTAATTTCTAGTAGATGTTTTGTAAAGTTTGTTTGAGTTGGTAACAGAAAGGGAGGTGGATCTTGCTGAATGGTCAATAAATAAAGTCCACACTCAGTTGAGGGTGATCTTTTTCATCCATAACAAGCCAGCTACCTGTTTTCATACTGACAGCAAAGCAACGACACCCAGAATGTGTTTACATTCAAATTAATGTTCTGTTTTCTAGTAACACCTGATGCTAGCAGGAGAATCAACATTGTTAGTTAAGCTTAAAATGTCTAAATTTAGTCTCTCTTTCTGTCCGTCTCCAGACCACTCCAGCTCCAGCGGCACATTGTCCTTCCAGCCTCTGCGCTCACAAGGTCCCATCCCCACGGCCCACGTCATGCCATCTCCGTCCAGCTCCAAACTCAGTGTGCCCTCTGCCCCCACCAGCCCCTGGAGCAGCTGCCAGCTCCCTTCTCCCCTCGACAGCCCCCTGGACATGAAAGACCCCCGGCCGGTGCGCCGCTGGTCCTCCCTCACCCGTCTTACCGGCCAGGAACAGTCCACCCCTTCCGGGAGACCGTCGTATGGCACGGATCCGCACGGATCCCTGGATCGAGGTGTGCTCTACGGCTACCGACAGGACCCTCTTTATTCAAACGGCTTTCTCTCTGAGAGCCTGCACAAACTTTCCACCAACTCTGACTTTACTAAGTACGACCTGGGCAGCAGTAACACCCTGGGTAAAACGGACTCGTCTTGCTCCTCTCCGCTCAAGCCCAGCACGTTAGACCTCACCTATAGTGCCTTACCAGAGAGCAAGACGCCCACTATGGGCCTGGCCGGGCCCGGACAGAGAGGTCCCACACTCAGGCACCAGGCCGTGAGAGGGTCGCCCATCCAGCCGGCCGTAAGGACTCAGATGTGGCTGAGCGAGCAGATGGAGTACCGGCCGGGACCAGAGGGATGTGGCTCGTGGCAGCAGGAACAGCAGCAGCGAGAGCGACTACGACAGGAAGCAGAACTCCCACAGGTCAGTTTGCAATTGCTTTGACAGGAAATGCAAAGATGGAAAAATGCAGAATTGTTTTTACCGAACGAATGAAGAAATGTCTTGTAAAAGTAGGTTTACAGCGCCCTCTGCTGGAGAGACAAGGTAAGGGCGAATTATCCTTCTGTTTACAGCAGAAGCCACAGAAAAAATGTCAGGGCTTGCCTACGCAAATTTGCTTCATTTATCAGACTCATGTCTTTTTTCAAATACCACATCAATTTGTGTTTAAGGGATGTTCCAGATTACACCCACACCAGTGTTATTTTAGTAATAATTATATACTATTATAGCATTTATTAATTATTTGTTAATTATTACTGCTCATTCAATTTTTTGTTTTTATTTTAGTTTAATTTTTGTTTTATTTTTTTGCTTTTGTCATTTTGATCTTTTTTTCATTATATATATTTGTAATATTTTAATTAAGCTTTCATTTTATTTTATTATTCAAACTTCATTTCAGTTAGTTGCCAAGGCAACATTTCTAATTAAATTTTTAAGTTTTTCATCTAATATTTATATTTGATTTTATTTCAGCTTTATTTCAATATGGCTCATCCCTTAGTTTGTAAAAATAAACACTTACACTTTCAATGGATGTCAACTGGGCAGCGAGTGCACCAGAATAAACATAAAAATCCACACAGTTTCAAAATATATTGAGAGGACTTAAACATTATCTGTGAATATGAGGCTAGTGTAATAAAATCGCTAATGAACCTTGTTCAGGCTAAACAACAACAAAATATTCTCTCAGTTTGGCTAGTAGTTCAAATTTCTAACATTTTCACACCTCCTAACATTTTCATTTAAATAAAAATGTACATTTAGAATAATGAATTTAAATTTACCTTAGATAGATAGGTCCATTTTGATTTCATGTTGATTGTGGTGGTCTTTGACGAGTGTCTGTTTTTAGTAATAAAGACCCAGTGTTTGTTCCAAATGGACTCAATTTGGAACAAAAATCCAAAATGGATTTTTTGATATTTGATATTCCTTGCTTGAGACTCGAAATGTCTTATTCAGCTCACAAAGATACACAAAAACATATTGTTATCAGTGCAAGTGTTTTATTCGCAGTGCTTGCTTTATTTGTCCAAGTGTCTGCACTACACAGCAATTCCTTCCTATTTATGAGTATTATTTCATAAATATATTCACACAGATATTAACAACAACACAGTGATTGTATAAATAATATATAAAGATGACATTTTTTGGATTATATTATAGGCAAACCAGTGCATAGTCTTATTAAAATGATAACTGTCAATTATGAGATACATCTTATAAGGAATGCATATCTAAAGCTTTTATTGCAGGAAAAAATGCATGTTGTATTTGTAAGTATAGTGTCAGTGGTGTTGTGTGATTTGAAAGCTCACCGATATTTTCCACTGTACTTCATTTAACTATGTACTTAAATCCAAACCTGCTGTTCACAGAAAAAGAATCTCATTTTGAGGTTCTGGGTGTTTGCCAAGTTAAAGGAGGATGAGCAGGTTACATCACGCTGGTCTCTCACATGCCGTAGAAGGAGCTAAACATGATTGACAGACTGACATGAGCATTGCTGACAAGACAGAGTCATATAAACAACAACAATAACTGGTTCTCTTGGGTGTTAGGTCTCATTGACTAGTAAACCAGCTTAATACTGGTTTTGATTGTTTAACTGAATTAGTAGAGTGGGAGTATCAGTCAAAACAGAAACTGCACACTTTTTATTGCACACAAGTGATCGTGTAATGTTTTTATTGAGCAAGTGTTTTTCAGTTTGGCACAGTGTGGAACAGAAGACGGGGCTCAGTCAAAATCCCTCAGGCCCGCAGGTGGCATGCAGTGATGGGATGGTGACAGACACACGGAGAGACACTTGCATGCAGCATAAGTTGACAGTGAAGGCTGGCCAGTTCTTCAAATCCCCAGAAAACTAATTCCTAATAAATTGTGCTGTACACTAATGTCCAAAAGGTTGGGGCCGGTAAGATTTAAAGTCTCTAATGCTCACATAGGTTGCATTTATTTGTTCAAAAATACAGTAAAAAGTAATATTAATTTAAAAAACTGTTTTCTGTTTTCATATATTTTGAAAAATATTTTTTATTTCTATGAGTTTTCAGCATCATTACTCCAGTCTTCATTGTCACATGATCCTTCAGAAATCATTCTAATATGCCGAGTTGGTGCTCAAGAAACATTTTTATCATCAGTTGTGCTGCTTAATATTTTTTGTGGAAACAGTGATACATTTTTTTTAATTAATAGAAATAAAAAAAACAGCATTTATTTGAAATACCTTTTTGTGTAACATTATAAATGTCTTTACTGTAACTTTTGATAAATGTATTGCATCTATGCTGAACAAAAGTTTTAATTTCTTTAAAAAAATAAATAGAAACAGAACTTACTTTTAGTATTAAATTAAAATATATGTTTAATTATACTCAGTATTTAAATTTACTTTATTAATTTTGCCTCATCCGCTGTCTTGGATTTACTTTCTCACAATGGCACAGTGCATTAAAAAATTTGGCTTTTCTGGTTAGGATACATGCATTTGGCCCAAATTAAATTAAATGATGTAATTAAATTGTGTGAGACATTATTAAATATATATTTGCATTTTAATAATCTGACTCTAGTTATTGATATTGGCAACTTCCGCTAAAACCCATATTGTTTAACCACTAGTTCATATCAGTATTGCCTTTCTTGTGTTACTCTGAATGTGCTATTTACAAACAAATTGTTTAGACAGAAATCATGCCGTGTACAACCCAACTACTCAAAAGCCTCTATAAAATAATAAATAGCCCCGCCCATCCCACCCCTCAACGTGATTGGCCCCTCTGTACAGTGCTTTGCCCTCATTGGCTAGAGGGAAACCTGTGGCCCCTCACATTAGCAAGACAATGATGTAGATGAGCAGCAGGCAGATGAGGATGAGCCAGAAGTTGACGAAGAGCTCCTGCATGTTTTGCTTGGCCTGCTGGGGAACCTCCATGGTGGACGCCCGCCGAATGGCCGCCCGTGTGATATGCTGCACCTTCTCCATGCCAAGGCGGGGTGGGTGGGACGATTAGTGCAGAGAGAGGGGAGAGTTGCAGAGTAGAGAGGAAGGAAGGACAGAAGTACTGCGAAGTGGAGTGGAGAGCCGTGTGGGGAGGAAGGAGGTGATCTGGTTGCCAGTGGAGATGGAGGCTGAGGGAAAGGAGCAGGAGATGAAAGAGTGAATGTGCATGCAGATTCACTCGTGACATGCAGGTTTGGTAGATGTTTCAGACGATTTTGACACTATGTAGTGTCCTTAAAGCAATAGTTCATCCAAAAATGAAAGATCTCTATCATCATTTACTCACCTTCATGTCGTTCCAAACTTGTATGACTGACTTTGGGGTCATTAGGATTTTTTTAATGAAAGAAGTCTTTTATGCTCAACAAGCCTGAATTTGGTGAATATTTAAAATACAGTAAAAGCAGTAATATTGTGAAATATTATTGCAATTTAAATTTTAATTAAAAAAAAATACAATTTTCTATTTAAATGTCATTTATTAGCAATGTTGAAAACAGTTGTGAAAACGTATTTTTTCAGGATCTTTGATGATTAGAAAGTTCAAAAGAACAGCTTTTATTCGAAATAGAAATCTTTTATAACATTATAAATGCCTTTACAGTCTCTTGATTTGATTGATTTCAATGTAACACATTTTTGCTGAATAAAGCGATACATTTCTTTCAAAAAAGAAAAAATCTTACTGACCCCAAATTGTTTTGAACAATAGTGTACACTGTGTGACTTTTCTGTTGATCATCGGCTGTGCTTTAAAAGGTCAGTGGTCAAAATTGAAATAGTTTGATTGGTGCACACTGTGCCTGACACTTTATAGCATTCAGTGCATTTGCCAACTTTGATGCAAGTCAAATGAAATGGCTTTTAGTCTCAAACGGAGCATTTCTATGCCCTGAATAGTTTCAGTTTCTGATGTGTCACCTAAGGCAGATGCTTGACAGGTTCCTTAAAATTAAAACCCCAGGGGTCTCGGCTCCTCTGGATTCTTCTTTCAGACTGGATTTTGCAGTCTTACTCTTGCTTTTACACCCAAAGATGCACTTGTACAAAGCCTTGGTCTATCATACTTCGAGCGCAACGTCATTAACCTATTATTATTATTGAACGCTTGCAAGATGAAACTTCAGCAGCACCTATTGTGTCTTTATGTAACCGTCTTTGCGGTGTAGGAGTGAGCTTATTTCTTTTCATTATCCTGTCTTGGCTCTGAGGAAAATAAAAAGAGGTGGCTTCAGAAAGACGTTTTATATTGGTGATTTTACTTGTGAACAAAACAGCCTAAATCAGGATTTAGCACTTCGCCTCCGAAAGATTAGATGAAGCCCTGTTTTCAGCTGAAAGATAAAGTGGCCTTGATTATAAATCGTTGCCTATTAGTGAGGCTCTCGTCTTAGACGAGCTTATCTCGCTCTTTCAGACTGCTGCTCATTCCTGTCTCCTCAAATCTGTAGGGAGTTCTGTCTTACAGATGCATTCGGCAGCATCGTCTCCTGAGTAACAGTATAACCTACACTTCCCCACCGCTTGCTTTCATAGTGTTACTTATGTCCAGCTGACCGGTGTCACTGAAGAAAGACGTTAAGTGTACGAGTGACTGATAGTGAAGCCTGAAGTGGAGCAGTCCCTTCCTCATATGGCTATTCTGAGCAGATTTGTATCAACTCTCTCAAGCCATCCTTTGGCAGAGAAACAGCAACACATCTGCACTGAAATGCACAGAGAGAGCCAAGAAAGTTGCAAAAAAAATAAGAAAACAAGCGGAGTAAAAATAAGATGGAATCGCACCAAAGAAGGAAATCATCTGAAAGGCTGGCTGGGAGATTTCCCAAGCCTGTGCATGTTTTTTTTGTTTTTTTTTACCCTCTGCTGTACAAATAAGTCGAAGTGAGGCTGAGCAAGTGCACTCAGTTGGCCTCAATGCTGAACTTTCCATGATGACATTGTAGAGCAATGCAGTGGGTTTTTTTGTGGCTTGGTGACGCCTCTGAGGGCATGACTCTTAACAGGTAGGACCGTGCCTGTTGAACTGGCTTTAGGACAGACATTATTAGCCATGCACACTAGGGCTGTGCTGATACAGTCACATATTGATATTTAATTTTTTTTGTCACTTTATTGATCTTTCAGATATAGTATTGATATAATTTGTTACAGTTCAGAAATATAATGTCTTACAGTTCAGTGAAGATGAAGCAGGTCATCTAAAAAAGTGGAAACTTTGAAACTAATGATTTAGAGATGCAATACTGGACGAAAGAGAAGCAAATCAGTTTGGAACTCATCCAGATTCATTCTCTCACTGAGAGAATTTCCCATTTACTGCAGTTTCATTCGCAGTACAGTTGTAAAATGTTGATGCGTTCTTTAAATTGTCACTTATACTGTAAAAAAAAAAATCCACCTCTTTCAACTTAAAAACTTCAGTTGCTGCCTTAATTTTTCATAGTTGATATAATCAACTTGGTTGTGCAAGTCATTTAAATGGCATCATCAACTTAAATTGCATTAAACAGGCTTAAAAAAACACGTTGAATTTCATATAACTTATAAAAATGATTAATGATTTTTACATTTTTTAAATATTTTTGTAATAATAGATAGTAAAATAAATTATATAATTTATATATAATGTTTGGTGATATATATATTTTTTTTTTACAAAATATATATTTTTTATATTTCACATACTTTATATGAAATTATAAAATGTAACAAATTAATAATGATCAAATTAATCAAATTAAATAATAAATGAATGCTACATTAATTAATGAACTTAATAACAATAAATTGGAGGTGAAAATGTATTTGTAGAATAATAAGCCAGTAGCTACAAATGTTGGTACAAATACATATAATGTATATAATTTTTGTGAAAGCATCATCATTTCTTACGTACATCTTTATTGCTTCGATATTTGCCTCAGTCCTATGCAAAAGCCAACTGGATGTGTGCAACCTGTGGTGTGGTTCCTGCTTTAACAGTCTTCTGTATGCATTTAACCTTTCCTCCTCTGCAGGGCCACAGTGAATGCAGCGAGCTCATTTGTGCTGAAATGAAGGGCTGTCAGAGCTCCCAGCGGAGTGCAAATGTGGGATATTGTGTATAGGTCGGAGTCAGTCTAGGTCACATCTCCCCGATATGTGTTGGGAGAAGAATGTGTCTGGCTCGCTGTTAATCGTGAGCACACAGAGCAGCGCTTACAAAGACGGACCAAAACATCAAAACTCTGATTAATCTCTGACTCTGTGCATTCGGACACGACGTCCACTGCTGTGTAAAGTTATGAATATCAAATACAAAGGGTAATTGATGAATAACCCTCTGATTATTTATCACAAAAATATATTGTCTGCATTCTCGCCTGTGGAAATGCATATGCATGCCTCCGTTCAATCTCAGTGAGACCTTAAATCTTAAATGGTAAATAGCCTCATCAACTAATCGATCTTAAGAAAGCCCTGTGAATTTAAGCTGGTTTCGGATTCAAAGAAATGAGATGCATTTAAAAAAAAAAACTTGACGTCGTCCTAAAAATGCCATCAGAGATGCTCATCAAACAGCGCTAGACACAAAAGTCAAATGTGATAAATGTGACAACCATTATGGGCCATCCTGAAACTGATATACAAGAAAATGTTACCTACCTAAACTGTAGATGGAGAGTATTGGGGTTCAATCCTGTTGCTCTGGTTTTAGAGGAAAGGAGGGTCTGTGGCAGCAATGTGGCGTTCGGACGTTTATGGCAGAAAAAGTGGAGGGGTGGAGTATAGGAGGAGAGAGAAAAGAAAAGAGATGCGTAGGAGGGGTCTGAGCTCTCGCTTTCTTTCTTTCTCTCATTTTTTATTTGGAAGCAGATTTACAAAGTTTTATCCTCTCATAAGAACAGCATATCAAAAAGAGGTTCTAATGGATAGTATTTATAATAGTATATCCTGCATTTGGATGCAAAGTTTACTGTCAGTTTTAGTTGACAGATTAATAATATTATATATATTTATTTATTTATTTTGCAGGTCAAATATTAAATTGGAAACAAAATTAAAATAAATGTATCCAGGTTTAAAATAAAAAACATCATTTATTTATTAAATTAAAATTTGTATTAGTTGATAGAGAGTATTAATATTATTGTGTTATTGAAGATTTTACATCGGAGGCAAATGAAGGAAACTAGATAAATAAATTAATTTATGTATTGATTAATTTTGTTTACTGTAATCCTATTTACATTTGAATGGGCATGAATTAATTTTGCATGTATAAAAATGTATGAAATGTATAAAATTAACTTTCTCCAGAGAAAAAGCTGTTATCTTTAAAAATCATTTTTTATCTTTTTTTTTCATGTGCATCTCTTACTTACAGATAGCTGTATATTATGGGCTTTGTCTAAATTTAATGTCACATGACAAAAATAGTGCATTTATATCAAGGTGGTGACACATTTTGCTAAGCTTTTCCCTGCTGCACGTGCAAAGTAGGTTCACGAACATCTAAACAAGCAAAACAGAAATATTTGCAAACAATAACTCTGCTTAATATATTGTTTTTCTTGCATTTGCACACCGGTCCCCATTACTGAACTGTTCAGCCCTGGTTGAATTTACTCTGTAACTGTATCCGGCAGCTCTCGCTCTCACTGGCGATTCCAGTCGGTGGATTAATACAGATATTCTCTTGATGTTGCGGCCAGAACAACATGTGTTCTAAATGACCGGTTTCATTGAGGAGGTCGTCTATGAGACCTATATCCTAATAGACTATAAACATCTTCAACCTGTGGTTTAAGAGATTCCTCAGAAGCTCTGTGAACTTTCTTGCATTTTTGAGCTTTTTTCCCCCATTGTTTGAGTTCTATTTTGAGATAAAGACATCCCAAAGTTCTTTTCCTTTTAAGGAGCTGTTCAGTAGTCAGGGAAGCTCTAAGAGCTTGAAGAGGACATGAGGAATGGAGAGGGCATTATGATGGTATCCGATTTCAGTGTAGCCTTCAGCCATTGCCAAACTCTTTTTGGCAAAGTCTGGATGATCGCCACTTGACCAAAACCAGTGTCTAAAAAGTCTTTAAAATGCACACTTGATGCCGAAGTTTTAGGGTTGTGTTGTTAAAAATTATGTCCATGTGTTTCTACCAGACCTCAGCATCATCAGAAAAGGTTTTGCTGTTGAGCACCACAGCTATGCTTCTAAACCAGGATTAAACAAGCATAAACCAAAACTCCTTCATGGTACAGTTCCTCAGATCTTTTTGAATGTGCATTAGTTAGCGTATTAGTTGTTCTCACTGCCATAATCCCAATGCAACAGGACAACGTGTGTGCCGTTTGGCTTGGTAGACGTGCCGTTCTTTTTGGACAAGCTCATTAAAATGGATGAGGTCAGTCCTCTCTGGTGACCTTGTCCACCGTACCTCGTTTACAGAGTGTTTATGGCGTGTAAATGCCTGGTTGCCATGTGCATGCATACACATTGTCCATTCGCCTGTGCCATTGTCCTCTGGCCAGTGCTGGAAAGTTTGCTCGTTAGGTGTAATACATCCATGTCTTACCTCATCGTTCAGCTTAGCACACCTGCTCCCCGGATCCAACAGCTGTCACCAGAACACACAAACAGAGGTGCCTTTGGGTTATGACAAAGTGTGTGTGTTTATACAGTGACCCCCAAAAGCTATTCGGACACTCAAGTGACACTTAAAATGTCTAAATGTCATTTCATTACACATAAGTGGCATCTGTAAATAAATGCTGCATGAGCTTTTCTCAGAATTAACTTTTTAAATTGCAATTTAATTGCATGAACTTTTAACTAACTGGAGCCATTATAAGTGGACGTATGAAGCCATTTCTTCTCATGTTCACACAGGTGTTGAAGTGAAAAATGTTTTGGTTGGTTTTCATTTTGACCAATATGTCTGTTGTTGTATCATTTGAAACCTAAAAAAATCTTTTTATCCTTAAAAATTGTGCTTGTGCTGTCTTTCTTTCAAATAAATATCATTTGATTTTGATTTTTTGGTAAATCTAATCTACAGTATGTCTATGCAGTTCCATTTTTAGTGTTGCTTAAGTGACCACATTTTTTATTATTATTACTTTGAACAATGCACAGAAACAAAATAGTGTACAAATTTTCACACAGTAATTTCCAAAAAGAAACAGCAAGTAACACTGAATTAAACATGACATTTTGATGTAGAAAACCTGAAATAGTATTTTCTTGTAAAATGTACTCCAATAATCTTTGTTTTATTTACAACTTTGAAAAATATTTTTTTTTACTCTGTATATTTGTTGTTTTGTCATTTGAAACTTTAAATAAACTTTTTATAAATATTTTGCTTAAAAAAGTGTGCTTGTGCAATTTTCAAATAAATATGATATTATTATGCTATAATAATTGTTGCCAAATCTAATGCAATGACATTCAAACATTTCAAGTGTCCAAATACTTTTTTATTATGAACAATATATCTGTTGTTTTATCATTTATTAAAAAAAAAAAAATTTATAAATATTTTATCATATTTATAGTATATAATTTCATAAAAATGTTCTTTCAAATAAATATCACTTGGTTTTTAGTCCAGTCCAATGACATTCATACATTAAGTGTAGCTTAAATGTCAAAATAAGCTTTGTCGTTATTTTGAACAATGCATCTGTTGTTTTTTTATTTAAACCCCTGAAAAGAAAGGTGCGTTTCTGCTATTTTTTTCTTTCAAATAAAAATCACTTTTTTAAATATTTTGTTGGTTAATCTAATGCCAAGACATCTTTAAGCATAGCTTAATTGCCTAGATAATTTTTGGCGAAACAGTATGTTCAATTTTATATTTTTGCATTGTTTTTTATGCAGTGAGTATTCTGAATCTAGCTTTAAGTGAACACTTCAAGATATCACCTACCTGTGCTTAAAACGGACAGGTGATTCTTATATAACACTCTGCTGAGCTCCCTGCTGCATTACAAATGGCCACAGTACTGCCTTTATTGGCAATTCTGAGTACCGCCACCTCGAAAGGAGCCAGCATGTCTCCCTTGTGTTGTCCCAGAATGCCAAGAGGTTGATGGACGGCTGTCTGGAGGGCCTTGGAGAGAGCGCAGTGGCAGGGTGTGATAGAGTTCAGGGAATTGGCACCAGATTAGCTGTGCAATGTGACAGAGTGAAACTGTTCAAGTGCTGTAGCCGAAAGGCATCAGACCTTTCCTGTGCTCTTTGCTGCATTTGAGAGAGTGGATCTGACTTTTATAGTGTTCACCAAGGGCATCTGTCCTCTGTGGGAGAATTGCTCTTTTTAATGGCTACCAGACTGAGCTACATTTTTAGAGAGTCATTTTAGATAGTTTAGCTTTTGCAACTATTTTTTTTTTTCTGCTAGCTTTGAGGAATTTCTGTTGCTCCTAAACACTAACAATTAACCTATAGCAGATTTTTACATTTATATTTAATTGTTTTATTTTTTTAATTAAATGTACAAGGGATGCACAATACATTTAGTACCATATTTATTAATGTTTTTATTTATTTGAATTAAAAAAATTACATATTTAATTGCTCATTTATGCCTGTTTTTATATTCCGATTATCTTTGCCACCATCTAGTGCTTACTTAAAGTATAATTTATAATGTTTTGATTCCTTGCATTTTGAACTATTGATTTTGCTTTAGTATTTTATTTAATAGTTTTTATTATTATATATTATTTTTTGTATATATATATATATATATATATATATATATACTATAATATCTGTGTATGAGTGTGCATACATTTATTACACAAAATACTATAGAATTGTTGGAGTAATTGTTAGAACTTAGAATAAGAATTAGAATTATAGATTCCAGTATTAACCATAACATCAACATAATTATCTGCTTATCAGTAATGAAGTTTCAATATATGTGCATCTCCTCCTGGAAAATTGACCAAAAGCATGTACTTTTTGCTATATCCTGCCCAAACCTGTTTCAATAGGAAATACATCTGCGCTTGTCAAGTGATTTATTGTGTTTAATATGGATTTTTTTTCATAGAGTTAATGTGGTAGTAGTTAATAGAATATGCAGAGGAGGTTTATCCATTATCAAATGAAGACCTATTCAAAGTTGTTGACTCGAGGGGAACGAGGACCAAAGGGAGTATAAAATTAAAGACACAGCATTTTGTATTTTCTGGCCTCAGTCTACTGTAATGAATGAGGTTCCTTCCTCAAGCAGCTGTTCCTGTCTTAGACTATTTAAATGGCCGCGTTGAAGGAGACAAACAGTGCCGTCACATGCTTTGAGAAGCAGGTGGAGGAACAAGTTTAGACTAACTCCTGACTCATAAAGCTTTTAGTTTATATAACAGCATAAAATTTGGTAAATGTAGACATTTATTCCCAGTAGGTGCCCACTTACCAAGAGGACAGGTGCTATGTTCTTTGGGCTGTCAGTGGGACTTGTCTGCTATGATGCATGTTTTGTAGCTTGTTTAGTTATTGGTAAGTTCAATTCAATTCAAGTTTATTTGTATAGCGCTTTTCACGATGCAAATCGTTGCAAAGCAGCTTTACAGAAAATTAAAGTTTCTACATTATATTTAGTAATAGCTTATCAGTGGTGACAATCTCAAGTTGATGTCCATATGGCAGAAATGTACGGTAAAAATCAAGCAGTTAGTCAATGTCATGTAATCAAACAGACGGTGAATACTATTAACAGCAATGATTATATGTTGCGATCAAACTTATAGCAAAATTTGGTAGTTTTGTATGTTGTCTGAGGGTTGGCATCATCTGAGGTCTTCTGAGGGGTTGACATCAT